GGGGGAAGGACAGACTTTCCCAGGCCCACACTCGCCCCTACAGCACTCACAGCAGCTGGCTGGGCGCTGGGATTCTCGAAGGCACCAAAGCGTACGCTCACATCCAGAGGCTGCCAGTGTCTCACCTGCTGTCAGAAATGAAGGCTTTTGGTGTCCAGGGAGTCAAGAAGGACTCCCCTCGGAAGGAGTATGACTAAGGTGAACCCTGCTGACAGCTGGAGAAGCCCAGGGGCCAGGGCACAGCTCCCTGCCCGCGCCAAGCCACAGCCACGCTGGGCTCACAGACACCTGGGAATATTTTCCCATTTACAATTAGAATGCAGGCCTTCCCTATTTTGTGGTTGGGGTTCTGTTTCATGGCTCTGAAAGGTCCAATATCTGTAACTAAAGAGGCATCTGAGGGCGAAATGAGTTATCCCTTTGCAGAGCTACTGTGACTCCGAATGTGGCCTCCATGGTGGGGATTGGCAAGTGTGCCAGACAGACCCCCGTTACCCAGGGCAGGGCAGGGGACTGAACTTCTGTGGGCAGCTACCAGGAGATAGGAACTCATGGGCTTACTAAATCCTTACAACCACCTCACCATTCTACAGGGAAAGCGACTGAGGCTCGGAGGGGCTCAGTCATTCTACATGATCACAGAGATGTGCAATTTGTACCTAGTAAGTCTTTAGTACAAGTCTTTTCACTAACCTTTTCCCCAGAGTTACATGAGTTGGTAGAAGGTAGGTAAAATAAGTTTTAAAAACACCATATTAAAGTAAGTTCAATGGGTTTCCTTACTGCAGGACTTCTCAGAGCCTTAGACATGCTAATGGCTACTGAAACTCCAAGAGGGCTTGTACATTAAAAATTTACCAAATTCATTTGGCATCTGGCCCTGGTGTTCCAAGGAACATATTTTTCAACAAGCTCCCCACTCAGCCCCTTGAAAACTAAAAGTCAAGGCTGTGGATTAGGCCCTGATTCAATTTCTGACTCCTCCACCTACTAGCTGGGTAACCCTAGGCGAGCTCAGGAACCTCGCGTGCTGGGCTCCTCACTGTGAAACCGGCAGGTGGCGATTCCTCCTTCCAACCCCCGGCCCGCGCCCACGCCCACCCCTCCAGCCGAGAGGGCTGTGTGGTGCCCACCTCCCTCACAGAGCGAGGCAACGGAGCACACTCAGGGGTCAGAGAGACTTATTCAAGGTGCCAGGTAACAAGCAGTTTAGGCTCCGTGGGCCAGTCTCTGCCACAAGGACTCCCCTCTGCTGCTGTGGTGGGAGAGAAGCTGTCATAGGCGATGTGTGCACAAGTGGGGCGATACACCTCCACTTACAGACGCTGAAATTGGGATTTCATACAATTTCACGTCACAAATGTTCTTCCTTAAACTTTTTTCATCCATTTGACAATCTACAATCATTCTTAGCTGCCAGGCGGCAGGGCCCGGCTGCAGGGTGCCCCAGCCCTGCCCAGCTGCACTCCACACTGCTATTGTGAGGGCCACCCGAGTCCACACGCCTGAGGCTCACGAAGCAGAGCCCATCCGTCTTGCCATCCTTGCTACTTGAACACATTTTGCTGGGAGGCCGACTGTGCTGAGTAGCAGCGGTGCAGAGTGGGACGCAGCGAGGGGCTGTCGCAGGCTGGGACAGAGGGGCGGCAGTGACGGCTGCTCCCACGCCCCGGCGCATGTGCTCCACTCCCACACTTGGGCAAAAGTTGCCACTGGAATTTATCACCTTCTACAGAAGGCGGTGAGCCCGGCCTTTGCCGGCCGCGTGGGGTAGCTGGCCCATGGGTGCACGGCTGCCGCTGAGCGCCCCGCCTGACTGCCCCGGCGAACGGGGGGCCGGCAGCGCTCTCCATCACCCCACGTGCTTGCTGCGTCTGCCTAGTCGGGGTGACCTCCGCAAGCGGGAGCTGCCTGGAGCTCTACAGTGGGACTTGTTAGAGGGTCTCACCCCTCGGGAATGTCTCAATTTCACCTACTTTCCACCCTGGCAGCCTGTGATAATCCCAGCCAATGAGATTACTATCAACTTCTCCAAATGCCTTTAAATGTGAAGAGGCAATGAATTCAGTTTACACATCTGCTTTGCCTCCCCCATGGATCTCTCCTCACTCCAGGCTGCTGCTGCGATGGCCGAATTACTCAAGCCGATTAAATAGTGCTCATCTAGAATTCACTGTTCATGAGTGCATTTGTGGCTCATCTAGTGGTTTGTAGCTCACACTTCTCTGCTCAGAAGTTGTGCCATTTACGTATGAATTAAAAAAAAACCATTCTGGGGCACTAGACTTATCACTTCGTAATTTACATAAATGTAAACCACTGTGTTGTACACATGAAACTGTAATTGAAAATTACAAAAATTTTAAAAATCCCATTCTTAATAAGATGCTCCTATGTGTATGTACATGTATATATGTAACCCAGCAACTAACAATTATTAAATTCCTACTGTGTGGTGACGCCAGGCACTCTGTGGGTCTCTAATTCTCCCACTAACTCTAAACTTTTTCTCTTTTAATAATAACAGGACAGTAAGCATCATTTTAAAAATCAAACTTTTAATGAAGAAAAGTGATATTCATTGTTAACACTATAGTCACAGAAACACCAAGCAGCTGTCAAAAATGCCACGGGGCTTTATTTACATGTGACATTCCACAAACTGCTTCTTCCTCTGGGTCAAGAAAATAAATACGTAAATAAATAAAACTTAAAAACAAGATAAAACAATTCTAGAACAAAACAAACCCTTCTCATTCATTCCTGGCGTTGACATCAGTGAAGCATTAGAATAAATGTTCAGAAAAAAATTTTGCTTCCCATTATTAAAAGCACAGCAAATTACAAGCAACTGCTGGGCACTGGCCCACGGCTCCTTGGAGCAGAGAACAGGGCACCAAGAGGTGTTCCAGAGACGAGGAAATAACCCGGCCAGGGGAGGCGCAGTCTCACCGGTTGACTCCAAAGGTGTATGCTGTTGTTTCTAGGAATCCCTTTGGTGTTGTGCCCTGTCACATGAGAGTCCCTGAGGTAGACAGAACCGGTGTGACAGCCTGGGCAGGTCCCTGTCTGGCCTATATGGCTGGCAGGCCTGTGGTCTGGCATTTAAAGCTACAAGTGCTCAACACAGGCCTCTTGGTCTGGTCCATTTCTGAGCAGGGACCTGAGCCTTTTGAAGAGTTGGGTGTTGGATACTGAGCTCGCTTCTCTCCTGTCTCCTTCAAGCATCTCAGCCAGCCTTCCTCCAAGGAGTGCCCCACAACTGAAGAGCTAACTAAAAACTGCCCTGTAATGTTCCCAGGTGCTTTGGCAGGTTTGCCCAGGGCAGGAATGACTCATGAGTGTCACTTCACAGGAGCATGGGGTCTGAGGATTCCGAGTCTGAACCCAGCTGAGGGCTGATTGATTAGTGATGTCTGCACAAGCTTGAGGAGAGGAACAACGGTAGGTGGTGTCACTTTTGTGCCAGGTCTGGGTCAAAAGCACCTGCCTCTGCCAGTGGGCCATATTCAGGCTGTCTCCTCCTCACCACACTGTCCCGTTGGCTGTTTTCAGCACTGCACTGGATGCACAGTGGGGACTCGAGCAAGGCCTAGCCCTGCGCCTCCCAGGAGCCCCCAGCCCCAGCCTCGCAGTTCCTGCCAGCACAGGCAGGCTTACCTGGCAGATCTTAACATCTGGGTGTCTACTTTCAGTCCAGGGTGTGAGCCCAACCTCATCTTTCCAGACATGTCCTACGAACATTTTAATAAAAATCAGGGCCTTCAGTGGCCCATTTCTATTGCACTTAACAGCCCAGCCTGCTGGGAAGATTGTCCCTTCCTGACAAACGCAGTGACAGGCAGCCATACCAGACCTGGCTCCTTCTGATTAGCAAACAGGACCTTAAGAAGTTTTTAATCGTAGCATGGGATGGCTCTAAACCTTTCCTTGCTATGATTTTACGGTGTCAGAGTAGCTCTTCAGAACTACTGGTGGTACTTATGCTGGGGCTCAGCCTTCGCCTCCCTCATTCTCACAGTGAGAAAGAACCCACACTCTCCCCCAGACATCCTCGCACTTCCACTGCAGGGACCCTCTCGCTGCGCGCCTCTAGCTAGTGGGGGAGGCAGTTTCTACCCTCCCCAAATGGGGAAACCAGTGCCACCAGCAGCAGGGGCTCTCATGAAGGACTCCTCGTGTACCAGAGAAAGCCTGTCACTTTCTCTGTACCCACAACAGTCCCTGGGAAACATGAGACATTTGATCCCTGCCCTTGAACCCTTCCAGATCCCCCCCAACACTTCTGAGGGGCTGGTCTTGGGTTGTGACTTGGTCCTGGAAAATAAGGACAAGGAGACTGGACCTTGCCAAGTTTTCTTTTACCAGGAACAAACCCATTTTCAAATTACGGGCTCTTCCTCTGTTAGTTCAAGTGCTGACCCACAAAGAAGAGTAACGGGATGGGTCCTGGTACTCCCAAGTGGTTTCCATGTTCTTTGGAAGCAGTGGCAGTGGCCTCGGCTTGTGTGGCTTCTAGGTTTGACACTCTTTTGTTTACATCCGAGTCACAGTTTGCCTAATGGCACTTGGCCAGAACAGGTTGTCTTTTGAGGGTTTTCAGTCTCACACTGAATTAGCCATTGTGAGCCATCACCTCCACTCCCTTCTGTAGGTCACGCAACCCACACAAAGGCTGCCCTGCACACGTCGGTGCGTTTTCTTCCACAGCCTGGCCGTCTTCCTGTTGCACTGTGCTCTGGCTGCAGCCAGGCACTGAGATGCCAACCAACTTCCGCTTCTGACGATCGAGTCCCGCTCTCAGCCTCCTATCCACACTGGGGGCATTCCACACATTAAAAATCTGAGTTCAAAGAGGAACTATTTCCCTAAAGGCTAAAATCTACACACACAAAAATAAAAGATTTCAATGTAAATTTTACTATTTTATTTGTGAAAAAACTACAAGCAGATTCATAAATAGACATTTCTATGAAAGCGGGAAAATGATAAAGTGGCCTCTAGTAACATAGTCGTGCACATGCCAGTAACGGGAATATATTAACATCTTTTATTTGCTAGACAAAGAGCAGTGTCCAATATAAATTTCCCCAAAACACTTAAGACCTGTGAATTTCTGACCAGTTCACAAAACCACCAACGGACACTTTAGCATGAAGGAAAAACAAACCTAAGTCTGTCAGCTCTAAGGACAGTACAGAGCAGGAACTTCCGAAAGCGTTATACAAGCTGTCTTTCTGGGCAAATGAAAATAGAGCTCGTATAATACATTAACAAAAATTCACAAGATTATGTTTTGACATACTTAACAAGCATTCTCTATTTGTCTCCAACAAACAAAGCTAAGGAAATAATGTAACCATCTTTACACAGTAAATTAAGGTTACAAGTCATACACAAGAACAGAACTGCTTGCGCATTAAAAACTGTTCAGCTCCATTGTCATACTCTAAATGTTGGCTCTTAAACCATTTTCGGTTACATACAAGCAAAGGTTATTATATATTCAGCAATTAATAAATTTTCAATAATTTAAGATATGGTAGCTTAAAAAAGTAGACTGAGAATGGTCTTGATAAGGCAGGTGAAAGTCTTTGTGGAACTAAACTCCCAGAAGCTTCTGCCAATGTTTTGAAATACCCAGATTGCACCTGAAGGGCTCTGACTGAAATGCTTTGTGGGTGTCAAGATTCTTTACCTTGTTTTAACTGCATGACTAAGAGCATGTCAGGTAAGCTCTGTGCCACTTGCGGAAGATCGGGTGTTAAAACAAATGGAAACTTGCAAGCGTAACACTGTGCTTTATTTTGTCTTTATAACCTGCTTACTGTGCCACTGAATACCAAGTATTTCTGACCCTCTTTTGATACGTATCTTTCTAGCCTACACTAGTGTTCTGACACACTGCCTACTAGCTGTAGGGAAAACTGCAAGTGCGGGAAGTTGCATGAATTCCATTTCCAGAATGCATGCCGAGGGAGCGCAACCTCAGAAATGAAAAGCCTCGACTACCCACCACCTTACGACCCCAACAGAATACATGTGGCAGCTAACAGGCTGGCCCAACACCTGACTGCCAGCTGCAGTTTCCGTCAAAATGGCAATTTCATCCCACCTGTTCTAAAGCAACCCCCCTTTCCTTCTCCCTCCCTATTCTTTAATTTATCACGGAGGCAAAACCGAAAAACCAAGACATTGGCAATTAATTAATTAGCAGCCTGAGTAGCTGGTTAATCAGCTTTTTCCACTAATCTAGGGGTCCAATCACTTTACATGAAACTAATTTTGAAAAGTTACACAGTGTTTCTGAACAAAGTGCACACCAACACTATTGGTTCGAAAAGCAGTGCAACCCACGAGTTTGGTGACATTTAATTTTTCTTATTAAAAAGTTAATTTAAAAACTTAGCAATTCCTTATATCTCTGGAAAATAAATATGGCTGACTAATTTACCCTCCCTGAGACCCTTAGTAAAAGGAATATTAAAACTTTAGAAGGAATGTCTTTGCAATATCCCACTAATATTAAAATGTGGATTTAAAATTCATAGTCAAATCACTATGTATATATTCTGATGCTTACAGAAAGCATTTGATTTCCTTTGGTTCATTAATAAATACTTGAAAATGTATTTAAAAAGATAAGCATAGCTTGCATCCCAGATACAAGCGCTGTGTTAAGAGGGGAGCATTGCCGAGCATTGAGCAGGACCACAGCGACAGGTGGCACTGCTTTATGCCTGCTGCTCTGGAGAACAGAACTCAAATTATGGTGCAACAGTGACCGCAGAATAGTTTGAATGTAAATGTGAAAGGAACCTTTCCTGTTGGCTACTCAAATCAAGCTGTTAATTTTTTCTTTTTACTTGAGGCCTCCAGACAGAAGTTACTTCTATTCTTAAGCATACCAGGTTTTACACACCAAAATGGGGTGCTTCCTTACAGATCAGCTGCCCTACCATGAACCCCTAAAGTATGATCAAATAAAGGAAGGTGACACCAAGTTCCTGTCCTGAGACGACTGAAGTCCAGGAACTCTGGACACAAACAGAAGAGAGACCCAAATCCAAACATGCAAAACAGAACATTTTTTAAATGTGGAGGGTGGAATCATTAGTGGTCTTGGTTTTGGTCAACCCCTCTCCCCAAGACAGTAAAAAAAAAAAAAAGAGTGAAAATAAACTTTAAAACAGAGTTTACTCAAGTTATCTTCACGTCCAAGAAGAGAAGACCAGAGGCCCCAGGAAGTCTGAGCCTCCCCGTGACTGCTGCCAGCACACGGAGCGCTCCCCACTAAGGCTCCCTCTGCAGGGAACCAAGCAGCCTGCGGACTGAACCTGTGGCCGATCACCTTTGCTCCTCAGTAAGATACACAGAGTGGGTTTTTAGGAAAGAAAACAATTCTCACAACTGAGTTGATAGGGTAGGGGAAAGGAGGGGGCATGAGGCAAACAAATTTCAGTGACAAAACCCCCACAGCAATGCTACGTGCAGAGTGGAAATAGGGATTTGCTTCCTGTATGGACCAAAAATAGAGTTCAGACCGTTTTAATCTTAAAGCTGAGAGACAATTTATAGATGCACCGCAGGCGTGAGGAAGGCCTGGGAACTGATGGAGCGAGATGTAGAATCTGAGTTCTCCTCAGTGCTACGCAGGACAGCGATGGTGATGCGCAGCCGGAATCTACAGGAACACTTGGCATTCTGGAGCTGGCTCAGTTGCTTCTGACCATAAAGCCTCCCAACCAACCGCCGGTGGCCTGTCAGTCACTCCAAGGCAAACGCAGGCTGCCCAGAGCAGTCTTGAAATTTGAGATCACAATGTTTAAAAATATATATGTTTTCCTATTGTCCAGGACGCTTCAGACAGATGAGAGAATCGAGTTTCCATGTGGCTTGGAACATACTTCATGGGAGACCAATTTTAATTTGATTTCAGCTCCTCCGTAGAAGGGACTGTCCCAGACCTGTGACTGCTCAATGCTGCATTCACTTCACAGTGTATCGAGCACCAGCGCTGCCATGGATTGGTTTCAAATAACCCTTTATATATAATTTTATATTTATATATAGTTATATCAAAACTGATAGTACATAGTATAACTGGAAGAAAGAACTAAACTTAGAAGGATATGCTGAAAGGATGGAGTTTGTGAACACAATAAATAAAAGTTCCCTCCCCCCGCCAGCCTACCTCCCAACAAAACAAAAACAAAAAAACCAGTTGTAATGTACATGGAAAATTGTGCACAGCAGAATTTTTTTTTTTTTTTTTTATAAAAAGTAGATTCAGGAGCACATCCAATTATAAATGATTGTTAGGAAAATCATATAAAACAATGGAATACACAAAAGTGTCAAGAGTCATCGTCAGGGTGTGAAATTCCTCGGTGGCCAAGTGCCCATGGCAAGCAGAAGCCATCCTGGCAGCATTGCGAACAGGCTGCTGTCCACAGAAGTCCTCCAGGGCGCAAGCAGCACGGGCAGATGGAGGATTTGAATTTCATACCCTGATTCAGTTCCACAATCCCATGTGCAATTTCAGAAAGACTCGTCATTTACTGCGGACATGTCGCCCTTGGGAGTGGAGGAGCGGGAGGAGCCCTTGTCTGTGCTCTCCGACCCCGAGCTGCTCTGGTTCTGCTGTTCGGAGCCTGCGCTAGAGGTCGCCGTGGAGGAGGAGGTGGAGGAGGAGCGCGTCTTTTCCTTAAAGTCTGTGATGATGACGGTGACGTTGCCTACAGTTACTGCCAACTGCTGTGCAGTGCTCCTGTCCACGTTTTTCAGTCGGGGCCTGAAAGCAGTACCATGGGGGACAGCCGATTAAATACACCAGATTAAAACGATTTCTGGCAGATGTCACCAATACACAGAGATTTCAAGACACTGCGGCAACGCATCTAAATTGTCACCACCTTCCAGAGCTCACCACAGACCTGCCGATTAACAGGAGCACCACAGAAACCACCCTCCGTTAGCAAAGCCCCAGGCCCCTCCAAAACTACTATCAACTTGTCTGCCTCCTGTTTGGCCACAAGGATATAAAAGTGGCTCCTATACACAGGTATTGCGCTAACAGCTTCAGGCCTCACTCTTCGCTCCACTTCCTTAGCCTGCGAACCCGCAGGTACAAAGCATCTGGGTTCTGGACTGTGACGACACAGACCCGAGCAGCCCTACCGGACTGCGCCCTGGCTCCCAATACCTGGAGGTGTGACTCGAGTCGCTGGTCCGCGTGGTGGCGTTTGCAGACTGTATACTGTTCACTTCGCTAGGAGGGTCTTTCAGAAGATCGGACTTTGGTCTAAGGGGGGAACCAAAAGAGGCATTTGAAAGATGCACTGGTCCCCCTGCGAAACCACACGCCCTGAGCGGCCCGGGCTTACTTGGTTTTCTTGCTGGCGCTCTTTTTGGTGGCACTGGGGCTGGCCTCCTTCTCCTTCTCGGGCCTCTCCCGGTCCTGCTTCTCCACCTTCTCCTTCTTCTCCTTCTTGGGGGGTGGCGGGGTGGCGTACTGCTGGGCCACCTGCTGGGCCACCAGCTGGGAGTTGATGCGAGGTTTTCTAGAACAGTCGAGGGCAGACACATCATTATTTGCTTTATAAACACTTCTTTCCATTTATTTTGGTCTCCCGATGTCTCGGGTATTTATTTTATCACTGGTCTCTGGGAGCTCACTTACATGGTGCTACTTCTACATCACTATGTCCATGTGGCTTGGATGCGTCCACAAGACGTTCCCTCTTTCAAATTCACTTTCTGTGCCTCTACCTTAATGACATACGCACATGCTCACACAAACAGTAAACAATGCCTTTCGGCCAATAAAAAGGACACGCTTTCTAAAAGTGTTGGGAACACCACTTCTTTTGAGCTGTCTTGATTTTGAGCTGTCAGCTTTCAAATACTCCCACTGCAGAGGGTTAATCTCATTTTATTAAATGGACACTGGTAATTCCTTAAAAAGAGAATAAAATGACAAGTGACATTCACTCCTGAATCCAATTATTCCAACTTGGTCTGCTCCCTTGCAGCTCTGTGATTGGCACAGACAACACATATAGAGCAATAAAAGGTAACTGTGGTTTGCACTAGCTCCCCAAGGGGGTGAAGACTGAAAGTCACTATAAAAAAATCTTAAGTGACACACTCACTGTGATGTCAACCACTATGTCCCCCGCCAACCTCCAACTGATACTGGCTCTCAACACTACTGTTTACAAATTATAAGTGGTACCAAACACTTCTCACAATTACCATTTAGACCCAAATGGGACAGGAAGAAAGGAAAGCCTATACAAGGAAAGACTAATTTAAAAAGACAGTCCCATCTAGATGGACATGTACAGCATAATAAACTCTCCAAGTACAAGGTAGGGAAACGGATCCGTTCATGAGGTGAAAGGACTGGTTGCCACAACATAACGATCCCCTTCAGACCCTACAGCTCCCTCCCCATTCCCCAGGAGGGAGGACTGGACAAAAGGAAAACCTAGGAAAAACAAAACAAAAAGAGAGCTGCTAGATACAGGACATGCTGGCCCCTCCGCTAGGCACGTTCGCTGGGTTACCGAAGCACCTCTTGGGAGCAGGTGTGCAGAAGGCAGGCAGGACAAGGAGGACAGGCGCTTACCCCACGCCTGCATCAAGGTGAGCCTGAGTGTGGGAGGCAGTGGGTTTGCTCTGAGGGTTGCGGTACTACTTGGTGGTGGTGCGCCTTTGCCAGAAAACACTCACAAAGGCGCAATCTCAGAGCCAGTCTCCTGTGGGCCTCCAGCAACATAAGCCTTGGTCGCAGGGTGCCACCCCAGGAAAGCCTGTCAGGTACACCTCAGCCTGGATCACAAACGGCCTCACATGTCACTGAGCAAGGGATTCAAACACGGATGGGAAGTCTCCCTAGAAAGGGAGGAACGTACTTACTCTAAGCCCGGGCCCCAAATGGCACAGGACCCCACGTGAAAAGTACTTCCTCTTTCTGCAGGTTCTAACAGAGGCAGCAGCAGTCATCCTGACAGTGGCCCCCCTGAGAAAAGCGGGGCTGCGTCAACACTCACAGAGAAGACAGCCGCCACTAGAAACGTCTCACAAACACTTCAGGGGACACACCAGATGGGCTCTCTACAGGGATCACCACACAGTTTAAGTCAGTGCTGCACACTAACCAGGACTCAGCGCTAACACTGTGAATAAACCATTAAACCTTTAGGGAAACTACACCTTGAGGAGAGTGTCAATTCCTCCAGCACGTGTACTTTAACTTACTCCAGGGAAATCTGGTCCAAGAGTGTCTTCCACAGAGAGTCACAGGCTCGCCAGGTGCCTGCCAGAGATGCCAGCCTCCTCACCAAGCTCAGCCAATCAGTTAAGAGGAGGCTGTCTCGCACCAGGACACCCTACCACATTCTGTGATGCCACTTACCACAGGCCACTGTAACTGCAAATCACTGTATACTCCTCAATGGCAAAGCAGCACTTTAATCGTCTTTGTTAAAAAAATTATCTACTGGGTGAAGAATAAACAAACATCGCACAGAAAGACAAAGTAGAATGAGGACTGAGAAGAGGGCCGTAGCTTTAGTGACCCAGGAGGCCACTGCCAACTTTTAGAACAGGCCATGTGGGATCAGGGCTGCAAAGATTAAGGGGCTCAAGACCCCAGAGGGCTAATTCAGAGGAAACAAGAAGCTTCTTTGAGAACCATGGTGTTGAGGGAGCACATGGCTCTCACATGCTCATGAGAAAATGAACTTGACGAGAATGGTTGTGTTCCTCTCCTCTAACAGTCAACCAAAAATCAAAATTTCACAAATGAAAAGGACCCAAGACTATCTGGTATCTGACTGTTATCAAGAAATATGGAGTGTTTGCTAAATCTACCTGTGTTGTCAAAATTAGTGCTGTGTTCTAAATGCCACAGATCTATGTCCTCAGTAACAACCTAACTCGGCCCTCCTCACACCTCAGCAACAGATGAGCACTTATTACTTTAATTACTACAGCCGCTAGTTCAAGTTGCTCCCCCAGAGCCGGGACCATGGATGAGGTAGGAAAGTACACCTAATTTACTTTGAAAAGGCGCACAGTGTTTCTGAACAAAAAGCATACCGACACTTAACGGTACAAAAAGCAATGCTCTTTTGGAAGGGGAAGGTAAGCAAACCAGAAGGCAGGGCACCAGTATCAGGATCCCACAGATCTCTTGTTCTTGCAGTGAAGGTGCTGCAGTAGCCATGCTGCTCTGGCAGCTCTTGCCATCTGTCCCCTCATTTCTAGGCTACTCTGCTGACTGCGTGCGACAGAATGGAAATGGTCAATCTCCAGTAACAGAGCTACACACACTTCACTACTGTGAGGCCAAAATCCAGCCACCTTCCAGATCAGACATCACCAACTGCGCCTGAGGGGGAAGAGGCACACCGGAGCACGGGCCACAGGACAGGCGCACCACGAGGCCGTGCAGCACAGGATCCTCTAGAGGAGGCATTCTGTCTCCATTTTAAAAATTAAGACGGAGAAGCAGAGCGACTAAGAAACTTATCTAAGGATTAGTTAACTGGTTGAGCTGGGATTTTTAACCCAGATCCATCTGGACTCTCCATGGGCTCCTTATAAAGGTAACTGCAGATGAATCTCTCCACCTTTGAAGAGCCCACACTTGTTTATACGTGTGTCTGCATATATGGGGTGGGGGTGGGTGATGTGGCTTGAGCACAGATTGCTAGGGATGAAAAACTCAGGTCACCCCCCCAGGCTACAGTTTTGCTAGACACCTCCCGAGAGTCCCATTACCCTCATTAGTCTCATCAGCTTTACTCTGGCAAGAGGAAGACCACTGGGGTGTCCTTATGGGAAGAGAAAGGGCAGGAGGAGCTGACAAGAATGCTCTCCCCTGCCTTTGGAACACTGCCTGTAAGGAATGAACCCTGATGACGATCCTAAACACGGCTGGCCACGAGGAAGAGTTCCTTTCCACAGATTTAGGCTGCTCAATGAAGTCTTCTCAGTATCACACAACAAAATGTAAACAGCTCGTTCAATGGGCAGAACTTTCAACAGGCTGCAGAAAGTCAATTCTCCAATATGTAGCTGAGAGTCTGGGTTCTCCAAAATTACCTGTTTCCCAGCTAACAAACCTTAAATAAAAAATTAACAGTCTTCACAATACAGTGGAAGACATTAGATGACAGAACACGGCTAACAGCTTTTGGTGTCTAAGCTTCCAATGAAAGCTAATCAACCAACAACAACAAATAAAAAGCCCCACTTGACCAAAAATGCTGTAAGCAGCGGGCCTGGTTTCCTTTATGAGTAACTTTGGCACCAAACAAGTTTTTTGTATCGTCGCCTTCTTCAGGGCTATATATTTTAAAGCAAAATAAACAAGCAGAAGAGAAACAGACTCGTAGATACAGAAAACATTATGACAGCTGCCAGATGGAAGGGGGGTTGAGTGGAAAGGTGAAGGGATTAAGAAAAGTTACAGAATAGTCTAGGGGATATAAAGAACAGCATAGTACACATAATCAGTGATACTGCAGTAATATGTGTGGGGTCAGAGGGTACTAGGCTCACTGGAGTGATCTTTTTAAGATATATAAATGTCCAATCGCTATGCTGTACACCTGAAACTAATATAATACTGTACATGTCAACTGTAATTGAAAAATAAGACTACTTTTTATGAAAAAAAGTCTTAAAATTATTTTATAAGATCTATTGTTATTTCAAGAGCTTACAGATGAGTATCTGTTGTGAAAATGGAATAACAGACATCATCAGGAAAACATTCTACTTGTTTGCATTTAAACAGCTAGTATTTCAGAAAAGTCCATTCCATAAAAAGTGGAATACACCTTACCACTCGTGCCTCAGGCTTCTTTGTACCTCACTACCATAGCAGCAACAGGGCAGATATGTCCTTATGGTTCAGGCGACAGAACAAAAGGCATCTCTAACAAATCGCAGCTTTTCCTATGTCCAACCCTTCCTAAATTATCATTTGTGTGTTTTGCAACTTACAGAATTCCATCTGGTGTTTCACTTTTCAATTAAAATACACCAAAGGCTCTAAAATCAGACAACTCAGCCATCAAGAAGGAAAGGGGTACTTTACAATTTAAAAATGTCTTCCAGTCAGCTCCCGCTGCCCTGGAGTCCCCTGGACATTGCCTTTACAAGCCCCAGCCCCTCGCTTGCCTGGCAATCTGTTTGCTGAGGAAGGACCAGCCTCAAGGTTTAGCAACTCTGAGAGTGTTTTTCTACTTACTCCCTCTATCAGGAGCCCGCGATTCTTTAGGACAGGTCACTTCGTGGGGCTGTAATCACAAGGAGTCTCTCCACACACAGTTTTCCTGTCCCTACACTCAAAGGGTCATTCTACACATGTGCATTGGGCCAGTGGCGATAAGCATGAATTTTTGCATTATGATGTCCCAAAACTTAGTACTAGCTGGGAACACAGCAAAGTACTCTGTGTGTGGCCATCAAGCAACAACACCTGCTAACTAAACATTCTAAAAATAAAATGGGAACAACAGTAAATCCAACAGCAGGGACTGAG